CCGTGTGATGTCTGAAGTGGACACGAAACTGCAGCTTTGGCTTTGGAGGACGTCCCCTTCCTGGAGGCTTCTGAACGGGCATCTCCCTGTGGTCGACGATATCATCGATGTCGACTTCTCCGTCCATGGTTGGGGGCAGCATTGACCGACGAGAGGGAAACTGATCAGTTTCCTTGAACGCAGCGAGCTTAGAGGCGTGAAAGACTGGGTAAGTTCTGAGATGACCAGGGATACGGATGACATAAGATGGACCATCAGGATCTGTCCCTACTACGTCCAAAACTTCCCAAGGTCCAAAGTATTGAGGCATGAGTTTGCGGGATATCCCGAACTCCTGTCCCAGTTCTGAAGACTTGACCCAGACTCTGTCCCCAACCTGAAATGCAGAAGGGCAGCGGTGTTTATTCTCAGATTCTATCATTGCTGCCTGCGCCTTTTGCATGTGCTCTACAGCCTCCTGCATTTTCTGTTCGTAACGATAAGCGAACTCCAAAGTGCCCGGTGCAACAGTTGGCTGGTTATCAGGAAGAAGGAAGTCTAAAGGCAGTCTAGGCCTAAAGGTAAGATGTAGACTGTTAGGACTTACCCCGGTAGCGCTGTGTACAGCGTTATTGTACAGACTGGCGACAAGAGCAAGCTTTTCGTCCCAGTCCACCTGATTGGGCTTAATGTAATGCCTCAACAGGTGTTGAACAGCGCGGTTCATTTGTTCAGCCTGGCCGTTTGCTTCTGGATGGTTTCCAGAAGTCATTTGCAGTTGAGTTCCCTGTTCATTTGCAGCGGCCTTCCATAACTCACTTGTAAATCTGACATCCCTGTCACTTGCAATAGACTTAGGCAATCCAAAATCCCTCACCCAGCTCTCTTTGAACAACCTGATTACATACTCGGTTTGTTTCCGACATGGCTATTAACCTAGCATACTTACTTAACCTATCCACGATGACAAAGATCTGCCTCATCCCACTCTTGCTGGTGACCAGGGTATCCATGAAGTCCATGGACAAGCTTTCACCCGGCTTTCCGGAATCGGAAGGGGCTTGAGCAGCCCAAGAGGAACCTGAGTACGGGGCTTGTCTCGTTGGCAAACTTGACAAGTTTCCACCTACAGCTTAGCATCTTTTAACATCGTGGGCCACCAGAATCTTTGCAGCAAATTGGCTGCGGTCTTCTTGTACCCAAAATGGCCGGTGGCGTCATGACACTCGCCTAAAAACAAACTACGCAAAGACTCTTTATCAGGGACACACAAACGTTTATTCCCTTCCTTCTCGAGAAACAGCAAGCCATTGACTAACTCAAACTCGGCTGAAGTTTGTTTATCCTTTGCCTCGAGTCTGCGTATGATCTCAGACATAAACTGGTCCTCTCGATAGGCTTCCACCAAGGATCGAGTGACATCATCCGTAAGATCGTACTCAGTAATCAGCGCACCTGAGAAGTCAGGTCTACGCGACAAGGCATCAGCAACCTTGTTGTACTCACCCTTAATGTACTGAGGGTCAAAGTCATACTGCTCAATGACTTCTATCCAACGCTTCAATGCGTCAGAGAGTGCAGGCTGAGTTCTCATCCATCTCAAGGTCTGATGATTAGTCCTGAGGATTAAGAACCTCCCAAGGAGATAGTGTCTCCAATGGGTCAACGCCTTGAACACCACATAGAGTTTTTTCTCATAGGTGGACTTAGCCAACTTCTGAGACGGCACAGGCCTCAACTTTGGCCCCTCCTGCTGCGCAAGCACGGCGCCAATGCCATATTGGCTAGCATCCGTGGTTACTATAAACGGCTTATCAGGATCGGGAAGTTTCAAGACTTCATAATGCGTTAGTGCATGCTTCAGATGTCTGAAAGCAGCCTCGCACTTATTTGTCCACTCCCACGGGGTGTCAAGGCGAGTCAGATCAGTCAAAGGAGCGGTCACTATGCTATAGTTCTTAACGAAAGTCCTATAGTAACCGGTCATTCCTAAGAAAGATCTCAGCTCAGTCACAGATTGAGATCGTGGCCAATCACGAATGTTGGCCACCTTGGCCACCTTCGCATCATCGGGCTTCAACCCTTCCGCGGAGATCTCATGACCCAAGTACAAGATACGGGTGCGGCCAAACTCGCACTTTTCACCGTTGATCTTGAACTTGTGTTGTCGCAGGAGACAGAGAACTTTGTCTAAGTGTGCAACGTGCTCCTCGACAGTCTTACTAAAAATAAGTATGTCATCGAGGTACACGACGACAAACTTATCCAGGTAGTCATGGAATATCCGATTCATAGCGTGCTGAAAGGTGCCAGGAGCATTGCAAAGGCCAAAAGGCATCACCACAAACTCGTACAGACCGTACCTGGTCTGAAATGCGGTTTTGTGTTGATCCTCGAGCCGGATTGCAATCTGATGGTACTCGGACTTCAGATCTATCTTACTGAAGTACCTACACCCTTGCACTCTATCTAACAGATCGTCGATGTGCAGTAGGGACCCTCTGTTCTTCACAATGATGTCATTGAGGCCCCTATAGTCAATGCACATCCTGAGAGTGCCCTCCTTCTTCTTAGGTACGAATAGTACTGGAGATCCTTAAGGAGAGACACTCGGCCGGATCCAACCCTTCTCTATGAGTTCCTTGAGTTGGCGGCGAAGCTCATCAAGCTCGCCTGGAGACATCCGATAGATCCTACCCTTCGGAATACTAGACCCAGGGATAATCTCTATCGCGTGGATGACCTCCCTATCAACAACCCCTGTTGGCTCTTCAAATAGATCAGGGTACTTGGCAACTACTCCCTCTATCTCCGGCGGCATTTTCACTGGCTCGCCTGCAGCAGAGACATAAACTA